GTGTCCTGGCAATGGACGCAGGTGCCCAGTGACACTTGAAAGCAAAGGCAAGAAGGCCCGTTCAGGCGCAAGAAAGGACGTGAACCCGCCACATGCTATTTCTCTTTACCACCATAAGATCGCGTCATATCGGGTGGGGAAAATTGATCTTGGTTCAAGGCACGTAGTTCGTTTAACCCCTTTCCTCGGAATTATTGAAGCAGTACTCTCCGGAATTATGCCAGACGAATTTTGTGAGGTACAGCATCCAAGCGTGGAAGGACCTTGCTACGCGAGCGGCTCGGAAAAAGTGCTTCTGTCTCGCATCCCCTTTGATCCGTCAGGAGTATACGGGCCACTGGGTGAATATTGGAAAGTTGGACTAGACTCGGCACAGTCGGCTAGGCAACTACCGAAGCAATCTTCTGCAGCATCCGAATCGACAAAGTAAAGGAGCAAGTGGAATTTTGTTTCGTTTCAGAAACGTCTGGCGAGACGATTGTTTGGGAATCAAAAGCACGAATCTTGAAGCGTTGATGTGAGGCGTTTTTGGATTCGTCCATCGGATTTGTCCTGTCCTCTTGAATCTTGACTCTTACCTCTTCTCGTCACCCTTGTGATTAGTATGGCCTTCAAACCGCAACATCAATCTGCTGTTATCTTTTTTGCCTGAGCGTTTGTTCTTCGAGTCGAGCCACGAGTGCCACTCTTCAACGGCTGCTCGTAGTCTATATTGCTCCGTTTGGTTCTGATCCAATCGGATCCAAAGTTCGTCGCCTGGAAACCCTGGAAGTTACTGCCGTCTAGCTGAAGAAGAGCTGAGTGCAACTCGTTGCCTAGGTTCGCAATCGGCGCAATCATCCCTGCAGGCGAAAATGGGGGCCCAAAACATGGCCTAGCCGCTGCAAGTCTCCCGCTCGCAGCTTCCCCACTCCCTCTCCGGTCTAGTTGTCGGGCACCCGCCCTTGGTCATCGTCGTGTTGGTGCTCGTCGGGCTGACAGCTGTCACTGTTGCGCAGGTGGCAGGCGCGGGTCCGGTCGCCTGACGCGCGCGCAATGCGCGCATACCTGCCGCTGTATAATGGAGGTTCCGGCCCGGATGCCAAGAGTGGGGATACCCAGGTGAGCAGCTACGGAGGCTGGGGCTTGGTTGCGTTCCATCAGAGGCCGGAAAGCGTTAAGCTTGAGGAGAAAAGTTTAGGATGCCGGAGACTCAAACACCTCGTCAGGACTGACATGACGAACAGAGATCTGCACAATTGTAGTAAGTATGGGGGCAGCTGGAAGAAAGATGCTAGCGGCGCGCACTAGGTTTTGGGTTGGGAACTGGCGGCTTTGGTTCTTAAATTGTGTGCGTAAGAAGCCAACGTTTGAGACGATCTCAGGGGAAGGACGCGATGTCTAGAAGTCCAGTCTGGTCTGTCCACTTTATGTTGATGACGAACTTCTATGGGAGAGTCTTCCCAGTTCGAGGCGAATGTAAATAAGGTCTCCCTTTGTCCTCAGTCTTTCTCCTGAGTCATGCGGGTTTGAGTAAGTTGAAAGCGATTTACTCAAACTGAAGCCTGACTCCCTGCCGATGGCAAACTCAGCTCTTTCACACGAAAGCTCTAATTCCGGACCGTGAGCAATATTCTCCAGAATTGTGCACCACTAGCAGCTTTACATGCTTGTGAGCCACCTACAGGTCACGCATCCTCCCGGCAGCTGATCGACCGGCAGCGTGCCACTCTGTTGACTCCATCCCTGCGTCCCCACCTTCTCTGCCGGTCAAGGCGCGAGTCTCAGACGGCTTTCGCTACGAGGAGGATTAGCTCCACCAACTCAGGACTGAAGGTACAGGGGACCCTCGGAAGCGAGCTCGACCTGAAGAAGATTACTTGCTTCAAGCGTTTAATGATAGGGCAATTTGTGTACGATCGGAAGGGTACTGCCTAGGGACTCGGTTTTCTGCCTAAGTCTGGGCAGAAGTTCCCGACGCACAGTGACGTGCTTTATTTGTTGCACAATATTCTATTTATTGACCGCCTGAAAGATACGGATCATGTCTAATTAGTCTAAGACGCTGCCACTATCCCTCTCGCTCGGTCGACATTGTGTCGGCTCTGCTTTTCAGCGTCGATTTGCTTGACCTAGTGACCCTAGGATGCATGCATGTACCATACTTGATTGAACCAGGACATGTGCACAAGATGTATACAAATCTAGCTACTGCCAGCGCTTTCGATGCATTGAGTTGGCACTGAAGCCTGTTATGCGAAGTCGTCAAAAATTGCGCCGGTCGGCCATCGGCGGCGGCGCCCTCCGAGCAAAGGCATGAACCAATTGTGATGAAAATAAAAGGTATTGATCTCGTATGCCGGCTGGCAGCCTTATATAAGGTGAGAGCAATCTATTAGTTCGTCCAGAGTACGGTCTGGCAGGCTGGTACCGTATACGTGGTGAATCATGTTTCCAACGTGCATTGATGCAATCTCACTCTATAATCATTCCCTACGCTGATCAGTACATGCCCTCGATCGGATCGAAGTTATACTAACCGCTCTAAAGTCGAAGCACCGATCGTCAAATTACCATATGCAACGTACGCCATGCTCAGCTCAAGAGAACGTGTTAAAAAGAAATGCAGATTGCGGAAGCCGCGCCACGCTGCGCGGCCTCGATCTAGTCAAAACGTCTTTAGACATGCGGCCGCCTATAGAGGACAATTATGCAAACCGCTTGCTTCGGCGGCCGTGCGCGACTGCATGAGGCCCACGATCACAGCATTGCGTGCTGTGTAGCTTGATAAGCGAAGAAGCGAATCAAGACTTACTCCAATCAGGACTGTATTTATGTGTTGCAGTGTGGACAGAAAGCCCCCAGTGTGAGCAGCTTGCATTGGGTTGCACTGGCTGCCAAGGGGATCCCTCTTAAAGTTCCCGGACCGATCCGCGCCGAGAATGGAGCGGAACCGGAACAAATAAGTATACGTGTCCCACTTCATTCGCTAGACTGGTGACGTACCCCTGGTGACGAAATGGTGACGCAACCAGTCTCTATCTTGACACCAATCTAACCTCCATTAAAACCTACGACAGGTTTGTGAAGCTCAATCATGGGTGAGTCATGAGTCAATGGTGTCAGACTGAAAGGCACAGGGCACCCTGCGACTTGAGACTGCCCACTGCCCAGGCGGCTTCCAAGTTTCAAGCAGAATGTTCAGCAAGCAGAAGGCCCAGGGCCCCAGAAGGCATGGTAGGAAGGAAGACGCACAAAGGTTCAGCCTTCTTATTGCGTCGAATTGCACGCCAAGTTACACAGGACGCGCCCGTTCGCTCCGAAGGGTTCACTGCTTCTATGTTTGAGCTCTCACCTTGGAGACTCAAGGAAGCACATTCGGCGTCCGGTAACTGAGTCAAAGCTGCTTTCACTCCGCTCTGGACAGTCCCTGTCTCACGCTTTTTTGGAGATTTAAGCATCAGGATGCACGCAGGACGTTAAGTGTTGAACAAAAACTGGGATCATTTTAGATCGTACCCCTGGCTAACAAGCCTTGTGCCAGTGCACACACGTCCGAGAAGGGTTCCGTCCCGGTTATGAGCTCCCAGTTGTGGGGCTTATGGAGGCACACTGACCTTCCGGTTATCGAGCCGACCATTGGGGCCAGCTTTTCTTCACCGACTGCTTCAGAATGTGCTCTAAATAGGGCGTGTCAAACTACTCCAGAGAAGTGCTCTGAACATGGCGCATCAATACTGCTTCGGAGTCATGCTTTGAACAGGGCCTGTCAAACTGCTTCAGACTTGTGCTCTGAACAAGGCGGGTCAAACTCAGAGTTGTACTCCGAACAGGACTGCTTCAGAGTGGTGCTCTGAACAGGGCGGGCCGATACTGCTTCAGAGTTGTGCTCTGAACAGGACTGCTTCAGAGTTTGCTCTGAACAGGGCGGGTGGAAACCGCTTGAGAATTGTGCTGTAAACAGGCCGGGTCAAAATTGCTTCAGAGTTGTGTGCTCTGAACAGTGCGCGTCGTAGAAGACTTGTCCCGCCTCTGAGCTCCCTCAAGGAGCCGCATTGCACCTTCCGGCCATGACCCAAAGACCAGGGCCAGAACTATGTCTACTAGTATAAGTTGCTAAGAGAAAGAGATATCGCTTTTGGATTAATAAGGAAAATATATCTGACTGGGTGCTTTTGAACAAAGGAGAAAGTTGCTACTGAAGAAAGCACAAGAGTGTCTGGAAGAGATATCTTGGTGATCATCCTTCGGATTCTTGCCGATCTCTCCCTTTTTCTTTGCAGAAGCCTAAGGAGGAGGCCTTAGCCTAAATTGTTGGATTGCCGCCCGTAAGAAGTAAGTTGCGGTACAATCTGAAATTGGAGAGATCCAGGTAAGCCTCCTTGTCAAAGTAAGGGTTGTGGGCATGCTAGTCGCTTCTAAGAAACCCGCAAGAGCAAGACGCATAAGTCCTTTGTTGTCTGCAAGAGTGATTCGCTGATGCCGCTCCATAAGCAGGGATGGCTGTTTGCCTCTGTCAACAGGGTCTTCACTGGCAATAGTATTTGAAGGGGCAAACGGCGTCTGTGAGAATCAATTGCTCGAGCAGATTGGGCGTTGGCACTTGAGCAAGAAGTGGTTTTTATCCTTTTGTCCACAGGGTCTTCACATTTCTTCAACGGCAGTAAGTTTTGACGGGCAAAAGGCGTCTGT